ATATATATATTCAATTGCGTGGATCACGCATTTACCACCTGAATCCGCCTAGCTTCCAGTTCCCAAGTAATAGTCCCGATGGATTATACTTACATGGTTATCGAAGCAAATAATCATGTCATCATATATTTATGCGCGCGGTGTGTTAAAACTATAATAAGTATACAATAGGTAGTGCATGTGCACGCGTATGACGGTATATAGATAACACGGACTTTTAAAAACTTTGGCCGTTCCTGGGACTGAGTTTTACCCGTTAATCTAGCGAATTAAAAAAACGTTAAAAATTGTTCCGACTCTACACTTGAAATCACTCTTTGAACGTCATTGCTTGCCTGCACTCTTTCTACCTATACAATTCGATTTTTTGCGACTTGTGTGCCTGTATCGTATCGTTGTCCCTTGCGAAAAAGAAATAACGATTTTTTTTTTTTTTTAACTGTACACCTTAGTACTCTGAAAATTAGCTTGTTGGATAACCAAGAGTACGAATAAAAATATCTCTCAGTCGCTCAGAAAAATAAGTATGCGATTCTCGAAAGGTCTGAAACCTCATTTTAGTTCTGTAAAGAGCGACGATGTGTTTTGGGCTCTTGACATCGGTAACTGTATGGTAACAGCCCATTGCCCAAATAATCATTCGGCTACACTTTACAATGAACAGTCAGAGATGCCTCCTCTTTTACTATGAAAACATTTATCAGATGAAGTGCGTAATTCAGTAAAGCTTGAATTCTTGTTTAAAGATCGGTAGGTACTACCGATATAGTAACTGCCTTTCCTCGCGTGCGTTAACCGAGACATTTTTTTCACACGATCTTGGTGTCTATACTTACGCATCTACCCATACACTTTCATTATGTGTTTATAATTATGTTTGGTATATTTTATTCACTATATGTATAAGACACGTGGCTTCAATCGAAAGTCTTTTCAACTCTACCATTATTTGATGTGTAGGTATAGTTATACTGTAGTTCGTTGGTACATTAAAAAAAAAAAAAAAAAAAAAAAACACATAAGTTAGTAGTGTACTCGGCGTACCTGATTCCCGTGACTAATGCAACAGTAAGTTAAGTACACGAGATGCATATCGATGTGCGTTGTACTGACAGGGGGTACGAAAGTACGAAAGGCATATGCGACATACCTACTACGGTCGGGCGTATGGTATGGGGAAAATTTTATACGTGTGATATATGATGGATTCCATAAAAAACACTCTTCAAAGTATAGAAAAAAAAAAAAAAAAAAAAAAAAAAAAAAAGTTTCTCAAAAGTGAACACCTTTGGGACGAGATAACTCAAGGAATGTGGGAAAATTCGTGAATGTGAAATGAACCAAGCGTGACGCTTCAATTTTGGGGAAAGTACCGTTTTCACGACTAAAGTTTTTTGTAGAATGGCTTAGGATGTACGTGCAGTATAATTCCTAGATAGCCCTCGGTGGAAAACTCTTTTATTGTCGTCACTGCCACGACGAGTGAAATGTACAATATTTATGAAACGGTACAATGTAAGGAAGTGTCTGTCTCGACAAACAAAATCTTATAGTCTGAGATGATGTGGGTGTAACCTAATGGCGATTTCAGATAGAGTTAAAAGAAATATTGAATAAATTTTAACAAACGCCAATTTCGATTATTTTTTAAGTCATCGATAACGAATACCAAAAAATTGATGCTTTGCATAATACTTACACGTGAATAATCCTTATTGTAATAAAATTAGGTATAATATACTATGTGTACATCTTGTGACCGTACTAAAAATTTGCAAACGTGTAAACCCTGTAAATTGAAAAAAAGGAGCTGTACTTACAATGTATAAAGAAGACTGTGCTAATGCATGTCATATTCATAGGTATAGGTATATTTATCAGTAACGCCAAAAATACAATAATGACAATATGCATGATGTTGCGTGGGAAATTTTTTTTTTTTGTTAAATTTAAAAGTTGTGCACCTAGTTTTTACGTACTAACCAATAATTTTACGTTCAATCGCGGTCTCCGATTTACGGTTTTCGATATTGTGCTAAATTTTTTTTTTTTTAATGCAAGAAAATTAGAAAAAAAAAAAAAGAAAAAAAAAA